GAATAACCATTCTTTACAATGTTATACATAATTTGTCATAATCCACACAGTCAAAAGACTTTGCATAGTCAATAAAGCACAAGTAAACATCTTTTCAGTATTCTCTGCTTGCAGTCAAGATCCATCTGTTGTCAGCAATGATATCCCTAATTCCACGTCCTCTTCTGAATCCAGCTTGAGTTTCTGGCAGTTCCCTGTTGATGTACTGTTGCAGTCATTTTAAATTATCTTCAGCATTAATATTTGCATGTGATATTAATGATATTGTTTGATGATTTCCTCCTCAGGAATAAAAAAGAATTATTGATATTTACCAGAAGTCCTAGTGTGGTGCTGTGGGTTAATGCGCCGGACTGCAAAGCCACTTGAACTACAAGGTTGGTGGTTCAGGTTCACCAGCTGCTCCTTGGAAACCCTATACAGGGTCGCTATGGGTCGGAACTGACTCAACGGCACTTAACAACAACATTGATATTCACCAAGGAGTCCTGGCAGTTTAGTGGATTATGAACAGGCTCCTAACCACAAGGTCAGCAGTTTGAATCTATGGGAGAAAGATGAGGCATTCTGCCCCTGTCAAGATTTACAGCCTTGGAAACCCTAAACAGGGTTGCTATGAGTAAAAACTGACTTGGTGGCTTCCACACAACCACCACCATTACTGTTGATATCCACCACAACATGATTGACCCTTTTTAAAAAAGGCTATGTGAAGAAGCCAGCGGTTTGAAACTACCAGCTGCTCCGTGGGAGAAAGATAAGGCTTTCTACTCCCGTAAAGATTTACACCCTCGGAAACCCTGTACAGGGTCGCTATGGGTCGGAACCGACTCAATGGCACTTAACAACAACAACAACATGTGAAGAAGCCAGACAAAGCAGAGCACATACTATGTTACTCCATTTATTGAAAAATTCTGCAAATATTAACAAGTTTATAATGAGAGAAAGCAGATCAGTGGTTTTTTAGAAAGAAGTCAACAGCCACTTTTGAAACCGATGAGAATGCTTACTGTCTTAATTGTCTGTATGCCTATATTATTGTTGCTCAGTGCTGTCAAGTTGGTTCCAAATAACAGAGATCCTGAATAGGATTTTTAAGACTGTAAATATTTGCAGGAGCTGAAAGCCCTATCTTTCTCCCTTGGAGTGGCTGGTGGACTCAAACTATTGACCTTGTGGTGCGCAGTCTAGCGATTTTCCTATAGACTCACTGTGTTCTTCTTGTCTATGTTGTTGTTAAGTGCTGTGGAGTCCGTTCTGACTCAGAGCGTTTCTGTGGAATGACCGGTTTGAACCGCTGACCTTGTGGTTTGCAGTCAAGTGCATATCCTGCAGCACCACAACAGCATGTTAAGATTGGTCAAATTGTACTCTAAATATGCATGGTTTTGTGTACTTCAATTATACCTAAACAAAGTTGCAGGGAAGAAAATCCCACAGCCCTACATTAAGAAACCTAACCTTTAGGAATTTTACATTTAGGACCTCTCCTGGCCTCATCAAAAAGAGGAATCACTTAGGAGGGATATACCAAAGAGTTTACTGTGTTTGGAAAATTGTACCTTAGGTGAGTTACGGTTAATTGAAACTATAGCTGGCAGCTGAAATGCCTGATCTTGTTTGACAAAATACTTATCGTCAGATCTTGATGGCCAAAGACTTACTTATTCAGGTATGGTTTACTAAGCCAAACAAATCAGTTATCCTATATTAACGTGGGAGTCCTGGTGCAGTGCTGTAGGATAAAGCACTGGACTACAAGATCAGTTTGAACTTCAAGGTTGACGATTCAAATCCACCAGCGGCTTCTCCGAAACGCTACATAGGGTCACTATGAGTTGGAAACGACTCAATGGCACTTGATAACAACAACGTATTACTATAGGAGAGCATGGACCAAGTCTTATTGGGTGCTTCAAGCCCTTAGCTGCAACAAGTGAAGTCAGTGGTACTCACAAAGAGAATTTCTGAATTTCTTCACACAACAGAAGGCAAAGAGGCATAGGGTTTATTGAGCATTCCCTATGTGCCAGGTATTTTTTTCTTTAACCTATAGAGTGGTTAAGTGCCATCAAGTCGGCTTATAGCAACCCTGTACATGATTTCTGAGGTTTCACCTTCATGGAACAACAGTGTACTACCAAAGAATATGTTACTTTTTGAAAGAGTCCTAGTGGCACCCTGGGGGCTCAGCTGCCAACTGAGAGGTTCAAACGCACCAGTACCTCTGTAACAGAAGAACAAGGCAGTCTGTGCTTCTGTAAAACATACAATATTGGAAACCCTAGGGGGCCGTTCTATTCGGTCCTGTAGGATCTCTAAGTCAGAATTTGTCTCCATGGCAGTGGGTTTATGTTAGTTTTCATTTATTCATTCATGTAACCTCAAGACAACCTTTTAATTTCGTTTTATTAGAAACTGAGTTTCAGAGCAGTCACTAAGCTGTCCAAAGTCCTACCGCAAATAAACCGAAGGGTCTGGTCTGAAGATCTTATCTGACTCTTTATATCAGAATCATGTTTAACTTTGATGATTTTTAAGGTCAGAAGCTCAATTTGTCAGTCTGTCCTAGTGTAACGCTGTGGGTTAATGCGCTGGACTACAAAATTGGTTTGAACTGCCAGGTTGGAAGTGCAAGCTCACCAGCCGCTCCTTGGGTACAGGGGTACAGGGTCGCTATAGGTCAGAACTGACTTGCCGGCACTAACAGGATAAGCCCTGGACTGCTAACCACAGGGTCGGCAGTTAAAGCTCACCAGCCGCTCCTGGGAAACGTAGTATACCGGGTCATTATGAAAGGAACCAATGACAGTTAACAACTTTTAAGGAAAAATAAAATAAAATGCAAAATTTAGACATATTTGTTATTCATAATTGTTTACCTGGCGATTTTGTTGGTACATTAATTTACATCCTCCCTGACTCCATCAACCTAAGTGTGTCTGTTGTTACGTGCCATCGAGTCGATTTCTACTCATAGTGACACTGTATAGGGTTTCCGAGGGACTGGTAAGTTTATAGCTAACATTCTTATCGGCAACTCCAAAGCAGATGTCTACGTGTTAGCAATTGTGTTAACAGTTGATCAAGAGAACCGGCTGGTCTGGAGCAAAGAAAAAATTTTCTAATATTTATGCAGTGGGCCTAACTAAAACGAGTTCAAACATAAAAGGTGTTTGGGGTTTCAACCCTTCAACTCCATCAGCTACAGAGTGGGCGTGGCTTAGTGGACTACAGTCCCGGAGGATTCCCAGGCCGGCACGTAACTCCGGGCAGCAGGCTGGTCGGCCGCCAGTGCGCAGGCGTAAAGACTGGAGATGCTGGGGGCGGTTGGCCCGCGGTTGCCTGGAGACCGGGCGGAAGCGGCCGGAAGCCTCGCTACGGTTGGCCGATGCACAGTGGAGAAGTTGGGGGTGGAGCCCGAGGAGGAAGGTGGCCACCACGAGGAAGTGGATTCGGCCCACGGCATGGAGCCGGAGGACGCGGAGGTGGCGGGCGGTTCGCAGGGTGCGCTGAAGCCTGAAGATCCCAGCAGCCTTCCTGGGTGTCAATGGGAGGGCGGGGCAGAGCGGGCGGCGGCCGTTGGGGCGCGACCGCCCCCTGCCTCTCGGCTACCGGTCCTCCCCGCCCCGCTTTGAGAGAACTGCGCTTAGCTTGCCTCTTTCGCGATTGGGAGCCCCAAGAGGGATGGTTCGCCCCATAGGAGTAGGGTGGGACTGATCAGTTTGTTAGTCGAGAGTACATTTTTGTACCTTCTGCCCCCACCCTGTGCGGGAAAAATACCCGCAACCAGACAGACGAAAGCTGAATAGGCGCCCAGGCGGCCCAGGGGTGTCGCCCACTTTGGCAGAGGTGGGGTCCCAACTGCGGCCTAAGCGGGAAGGGGTGGCTTGGGGTGGAACCGGGGAGGAGGTTCATCTGGAGTGGCCGCTTTCCGGGGTTCCCACTTTCAGCATCAGGGCCCTAGTTTTTACTGCGTTAATCCTAGTCCTGGCGGTCACTTCCCTAACCCCCCCCCCCCCCCTTTTTTTTTGGTAGTTGGTGAGAGGGTGGGAAACCTTTTCAGGAGAGTAGAGAGTTATGCAGACCTTTCACCCAGATTCTCCTAATGTTAACGTCTTATATGACGATGGCACATTTATCAAAACTAAGAAACGAACATTGGCATAGTACTATTAAATCTCAAATTTAAAATTTCACTGGGTTTTCCACTAATAATCTTTTTCTGTTCCAGTATCCAAATCAGAAAAACATATTGCATTAAGCCTGCCGTGTTTTCAACTGTTGTTCAAGAATAGGAATCTTTAGTGACACGAGCTGAAAAGTCCAAGAAATTTTAATTCATTTTTTAAATTTAGTGCTTATTTATTTATAGTCAACTATATGCCAGGTGGTGGTGGTGTGCAGTGGAGTCGGTTCCGACTCATAGCGACCCTGCATAGGATTTCCGAGGCTGTAAATCTTTTATGGGAGCAGAAAGCCTCATCTTTATCCTGCGATTCTAGACAGTAGGAATATATGAATCTGATTTTTTTCCTCCTCTCATACGGGACCTAAGTCGTGAAACCCTTAGGTTCTCTTTAATGCCATTTAACATTTCAAATAATTTCTTTTTTACATTCAAGGACGTACCACTTAAGATTTCTTTTAGTTAGAGGAAAATCGGTGATGTTTTGGCTTTTCTGCCGTTTTCCAGTTTAGCCTTAAAGGTTACTAAATTTTCCAGCGATAATATTAGCTATTGTAATTGTGATCATTCCCCCCCCCCCCTTATTATTCTCAGAAAAATGCAGTACACAAGAAATGCTGAGTAAGTGAACAGGACCCACGATTGGACCCATGTTAGGATGATGATGTTAGTGAGGCGTTTCTGACTCTGACCTTGTGTAAGGTTTCGGAGGAGTGGCTGGTGAGTTTGAACCACTGACTTTGCGGTTCAAACTGTCCTTTTGGTCCAACACATTGTCTTAGAGTGGCACATCCAAAATGATACCGACATGATCAATGGGCCCCTGCTGGATTATCTATCCTTTCTCACCTGTCAGTTAACAATGTTTTAAAGAACTCTCAGTAACTCAGTGATGATAAGCGGTCTGAATATATTTTTTGTGTTTTGCATATTGTACAGCAATTCACCATGAAGTGGTACCAACAGGAAGTACTTCATCCAGAGTCATAGTACATGTGGATCTGGATTGCTTTTATGCACAAGTAGAAATGATCTCAAATCCTGAACTAAAGGGCAAACCTTTAGGTAATTCTGAATGTTAATATTTTCATTGTATAATGATTGGATAACTACTCATATTTGTTGATTTTTTTTTCTGATTTATTAGCCAAATTAAGGAAGACTTAAATGTAACATTTTGGAAATGATTCTTCTAGATGCTTTACAGATAGTAAACTTTGATTCATTTAATAAATGGTGAGAGAATGCAATGTCAACTGAACAGGTGAACATAGAGGCGAGAATAAACTTAGGTTTCTGTGTCAGTAGCTTGATTTGTTTGAAATTTTGTAAGGTTCATTTCTCTTAAAGTTTTTTATTACATTTTAAATAGAAAATTTTTGATCCCTTCCCTTTGGAAATTAACTTAAATAGTATAAAGTCTTTCAAGATAGTTGGGATTTGAACAACGCCTAAGGTTGATAGCAACACAAGTTTTCCTAAAACAACGTTTTAAAAAAGGAAACAAAAATTTTGCATTGAGGATTTACTTATTAATATGATAGCTTGTTTTAATAATAATGCCTATTTTACTTTGGGGCAAGCAGAGGGGTTGTGTGTGTGTCAGTGAGGTGTGGGGGAGGTTGTTGGCATGCAAGAAGGATTATTCGGTTTTTAGTGCTAATATAAATGTTTTGAGCAATTTTGATTCACTTGCTGCTATCTTCTTATTGCCTAGTTTGGCTGTTATAAATCCCTACGTGGCCTAGCTTAGTTGATTCACCAGAGAACGAGAGCAATAGGATGATTCGTTTTTGACATGCCCAAAGTAAGTCGTAGTTGTAGAATTTTTAAAGGTGTCAAAGAATTAGGACCAAAGGTGCGTCTATTTTCTCCTTAAAGCAATTTGTAACTAGTAGCATTGTTATTTAACCCCTCAGTAGTTCCCAAATTGTAAATCTTTATGGTAGCAGACTGATACATCTTTTTCCCACTTAGTGGCTGATGGGTTCTGGCTTTTGACCTTGTGGTTAGCTGCCAAGTGCTCAGCCACTGTGCCACAGGGCTCCTTGCTCCGCTGTTAAAGGCTGTGGCTTTCTGAGGAGCAACTGTGGATTTGAACTGCTGAGGTTGCAGCGAGCAGTCCAGTGCTTATCCTACAACACCACATGGACTCCCCTTGCCTTGTAGTTAATGCTTAACACAAAAGGATTGTGTAACTGAGCGTGGATGAATAGTAATTGTAAAATGATTGATACCCGTCACCCTTTAGTCAGTTCCGACTTAGCGATCTTCTATAGGGTTTTCAAGAGTCAATCTGTATGAGAGCTGGCAGCTTCCTCTTTCTTCCTTGGTGGGTTTGAACCACCGACCTTATGTTAGCAGACTATCACCTAAGCCACAATACTCTTTAAATTGGACACTAGTAGTGAAAGTCTTAGAAAAAAACAAAAGCAACGTCTCCTTACCAACTAGGTGAGGGCTTAATTCTTTCAGCTGGTGATGGACAACGCTGGGCCCATATAATTTAATTCTGAATGAAAGGACTGTGCCTTTTTAGTTAAAGAAATTACCAATCTGATTGTTCATATAATTCACTAATGAGTCTTAATTGATTCCCTGTGACTCCAAATTTAGAAATAAATGCAGAGAACTCATTTTTTTTTTTTTTTGAATGTCCATATTTTACATATTTTCAGTACTTATTTTTATAGTGGTAAACCATCTACTTGTCTAAAAAGAAATCCATAATTTTAGCTATTTTATAAGTGACCAGCTACTAGAATTTTATCTGAGGGGGATTCAAAAAAGTATGGAAAAGAATGGACTTTTTCTATGAACTTTTTGAAGTTCACTTGTACAGTTGATCATCATTTAATCATTTGGATAGGGAGGCAGTTCATAATGCCTCCTTACTGTGATCCTTTCTGCAGATAACTAAAAAGAGAACAAGTTCAGTGATCAAGACATTTGTGGAGGGAGATCCCTAACAATTGTTTCAGGTTGGCACTTGTAACAGAACATTGCTTTATAGTTACTGACTCTGAAGATAAGCACAGTTAAGTCCACAGGTTGCAGGCAAGCAGTACTTGCCCTTTAATGTTGAAGTAAATTTGCCCTCACTTTGAAATGATTGAACCAGTCCCTACTGCAACAAATTAATCACTGTCACCTTCACTTGCGGCTAATATATAACTGAAAAAACGGAGTCTTTTATTGCACTAATTAAGATTACATAAGAACTGTATGTGTCTGCTATGACTTACCTACAAATTCAGCTTGCCAAACATACCTAGAAATTATTTCGTTTATAACCCATGGACTGCCTGTGCTTGGAGTCCTGGGGTGGTGCCATAGGATGAGCACTGGGCTGGTAACCACAAGGTCAGCAATGCAAACCCACCAGCTGTTCCTTGGAAACCCTGTCCAGCGTCAGTCTGAGTTGCAATAGCACGTAACAAGCCTGTACTTGAATTTTTCCAGCAGCAACTACTAATTGCAGTCAGTTTTTTACTTGGCTTATGTTTTTGGTAAACCATGACCTAGAGTTAAAGGCACAAGCTTAGTGGGTTACACGTTGGACTGCTAACCACGAAGACCAGTTTGAATCTACCAGCTCTGTTTTGCAGGAGAAAGAGGAGGCTTTCTGCTCCTATGAAGAGTTACCGTCTTGGAAACCACATCCAGGGTTGCTGTGAATTGGAATTGACTTGAGTGCATGCAGCAACGCAGTTATAAATGTGTATGTCAGTAAAACAGATCCTAGAAAGATTGGATTTATAGCCACAAGATGTGTGGCCCTGTTGTATAAGCACTGGACTGCTTGGGTTGGCAGTTCAAACCCACCAGCTGCTCCTGGAAACCCTATAAAGGGTCGCTGTGTCTTGGAGCCGACTCAACAGCACTTGATGGCGATGATACTGATTTATGATTGCTTTTGTTAAACTCAAGAAATAAAATGCCCAGGTTGAGTTTTGCGTATGAAATAATTGATCCTTCACCTAACATGTCATTACTGTTATAGTCAAGTGCCGTCGAGTCGGTTCCATCTATATAGGGTTCCTAAGGGGCAGCTAGTGAGTTTGAACCACTGACTTTCCAGTTCAAACAGACCTTGCAGTCCTGCTCTTATCCTACAGCACCACACCATGACTCCTTAATTACTATTTACCCAGTATTGAATATTTTATAATGATTTTTTTTCTCCCAGGTAGGAAAAAGCAACCAAATATTTTAAATGAGGTATAAGAAATCATATATTGATATTAACCCTTAAGTAGGAGATAGTTTAAAACCTTGGTATTCCTGTTTTGTAGAATTTTGAATGGAAGTATTTGTTTTAATTGAAGTACAGGGCTTTTGGTTTATATTAAAACAGGTTGCATTACAGTTTATCAGATTACAATTAAACAGTGGATTCCCTGGGTGGTAGAAGCAATTAAACACTTCACTACTAACCAAAAGGTTACTTCAGCCCACTTAGAGGCCCCTTGGAGAAAAGGCCTTGCAGTCTGCTTTTGAAAGGTCACAGCCCTGAAAACTGTGGTACAGATCTACTCTATAGCACATGGGGTTGCTGGGAGTTGGAAATGACTTGTTAACCACTGAGTTTAGTTTGAATATGCAAGTTCTAAAGTGCCATCGAGTGTGTTCTGACTCAGCGATCCTATACAGGGTTTCCAAGGAGCAGCTGGTGAGTTTGAACCACTGGCCTTGCAGTTAGCAGTCTAGTGTTTTTCCAATGGTGCTACACTGGGACTCCAAAATGGAAGTAGTAATCGCATTTTAAAGAAATTTTTTTCAATCCTGCTCACTTCTTTTCATGATTTTTTTTTTTTTCCTTTTAATAGGAGTTCAGCAGAAATATTTGGTGGTTACCTGCAACTATGAAGCCAGAGAACTTGGCGTTAAGAAACTTATGAATGTCAGAGATGCAAAAGAAAAGTGTCCACAGCTGGTACTGGTTAATGGGGAAGACTTGACTCGTTACAGAGAGATGTCATATAAGGTTACAGGTACAGAATCTAGTCAGGCACATTTAGCATTACTTTTTGTATGCAATGCCTGTTTACTCCATTTTAATAAATGTGGAATGCCATAATTCAGTTACTTTTTTCCTAATTTTTTGTTTCAGGACTTATTTAAAAAAAATATATACATCTGTTGGAGAGACTGCCTTTATATAAGGTGATTTTAAAAAGATGTGTAGTTGGCAGTAATCGTGTCATGACTGGTGTTTATATATACATACCAGAAAACATGTAAAGCAGAATCTAAAATTGAGAAAATAGGATGACATACCATAAATAAAACCAAATATTAAAAATTTTAATTTATTGTGTATTTATACATATAAATGCAAGTCTGTGTTTGTAAAAAGTGCCCTTCCCTCCAGTTTTGAGGTGTTTTCCTAAGCATACTTACTATTCATTTGTTTTCCATAAAAATTGGGTACATCTCAAATTTAAATGAATTGCTGAGTAATTTGCTATTTTCTGTCTCATTCTTGGTTGTGAGAGTAATGTTTGATCAGCACAACTGAAAACTGATTTTAAAATTATTAAACAATTAATAGTTATATTAATCTTTTCTTAGTATTTTTTGTGTATATTAAATATTGCATAGAGCTAAACTCTTTCATGCCAAGGTTTGGGTTTGAATCTTAGTGTTTTCACGAATTAGAGGAAAAATAAAAAAGCATGCATACTGGCATATGCAGATATGGGAGTATCAAAAATTCATGGAAAGGTTAAATTAAAAGGTAATGGATGTTTCCATCAAATTTTTGAAAACTCCTCATTTAGGTATGGAGTTCCGGTGTGGCGCTGTGGGTTAATGCGTTAGACTGCAAAGTCACTTTGAACCATTAGGTCGATGGTTCAAGCTCATCAGCTGCTCCTCGGAAACCCTTTGTAGGCTGCTTTGGGTCGGAACCAATTCAGTGGCATTTAACAACAATAACAATATTTAGGTATATATGCCTCAAGGAAGGGCTGACCATTCAGAATACTGCATTGTTGTTAATTATGGTGTAAATGATTTTTCTGGTTGACTCAGTAAAAATTGGAAATTTTTTGTTTATTTTTCACTTTGCCTTTTCAAACTTGTGGAAAATAGAGCTGAAATATATTAGTACTTGTTTTGACTTTCCTAAGGAGCTCTGGTAGCATAGTGGTTATGAATCAGGCTGTGAACTGCAAGGTCAGCAGTTCGAGTCTACCAGCTGTTCCATGGGAGAAAGGTGAAGCTTTCTGCTCCCGTAAAGATTTATAGCCTTGAAAATCTGTACAGGGTCGCTATGGGTCAGAACCGACTCCACGGCACATCACCACCACCAAGTTGACTGTAACTTATTCTTGATACACCATTTCAAGATCATGATTAACTATAAGCATTGATGTTTAATGGCCTCCAGACATAAAAGTAACCTGGGTAGAACATCTCCTTGATGCCATGAATAACTGCCCAAGATACTGTGGAATTGTCTCGTTAGGAAATACTACCTCTGCTCAAAGTATGAAATTGTGGTTTGGCACTGTAGGATAAGCACTGGACTGCTAATTGCAAGGTCAGCAGTTCAAACCCATCAGCCTTCCCATGGAAATTACACAGAGTTTCTATGAATTGGAATCAACTCAAAGGCAGTTAACAACGATAGCAACTCAACGTGTAATGCAGAAAAAAGTCATAGTTAACTGAGGGCTTTCCTAAAGATAACTGTGGAACTGTAAATATATATAAGACCCTTAACAAATATTGGATGTAATTTTTAAGCCTAAAATTGTTAAGTCTTTTCCATTATAGTTTCTGTTACATCTGTGTTGCATGATTATTTCCATTTAGAGTTACTGGAAGAATTTAGTCCAGTTGTTGAGAGACTTGGCTTTGATGAAAATTTTGTGGACGTAACAGACATCGTCGAGAAGAGACTACAGCAGCTTCCGAGTGATGTACATTCAGCAGTGACTGTGTGTGGCCACGTGTACAATGATCAGGGTGAGTGGATTCTTACTCATTCTGCTTTAGTAAGGCAAAATACGTCTATTTCTTCTTGCCCTGTGAGGTGGCTGTGTCACTCTCACATCCGTGACTTTTGCTGGAGGTGTAGTGATAGCTAGTCTGTCTAGAATAACTAAAAGTCGGTATAGATACTCCAAACAAAGTGTGCAGAAAATGAGAGTTTGATGACATGCAGCTCAGTGTTCTGTGCTGTTTTCATCTCTGATATAGTCTACCTCTTCTCATAAGAACCAGGAGTTTGACTTGTAGACTAAGTTGGTCTTTGATCTCTGATGCTTACTTGTTCCCTGCTAATCCTTCAAGGCACTCTTTTTGGTCTCTGACGTTCCTAGTTACTCCTTTTGGAATCTTATCCAACCGTAACTGCCATGTGCCTAGTTTCTTTCCAACCTCCTATTTAATCAGTTCAGATAATCTTTGCCAACTCTTACCAAAAACAAACCGCAATGGTTCATTCCCCATATTAAGGTGTGAAAGACCAATAGTGTTTCTAGTGATATTTATATTGGAAAATAGGCAGCAGTAAGCTCTGATCAATAACTGATTAGGCTTTCAGGAATCTTGTGTCTGTGCTGGTGACTTGCACATCGTACCGCATAGAAGACAAATGACTCTGGTTCTTGCTCTTCGATCCCAACTTCTTTGGGAGCAGGTGATTATTCTCCAGTTTAGTCCTTCCCAATCTTGAAGACAAGTAGAGCTACGCTTTTCTTCTAGAACAAGAATTGAAGCTTCTCTTCATACTAATATATTTGTCTTTTTACCTATGCTCTTTTATTACTTACAAGGTCTATTAAACAAAAGGATTCTAAAAACATTTTTATATAATTTTTTCAAACCAAACTCAGATCACTGAGTACTGGTTTTTATATCCTAAAATGAAAATGTCTAATTAATCATAAATTACTTCCATTCCCCACAATAAAAAAAAAAAATCCCCCCTCAAATTTGCAGCAAAACTGACAGAGTAGTACAGTGAAAGACGCACGGTGGCTGTGTAGATTGAGCACTGGGCTGTGAACCACATATGTGGTCAGTGGTTTGACCTGCCAGGCCCTGTGCAGATTCAGAAGGATGAGGCCTTGGAAACCCTATACAGGGTCGCTATGAGTTGGACCTGACTCCATGGCACCTACAGACCACGACTCCAGTGTAAGAAGACCCAGCATGCCTTTCCTGTGGGTGCTTTCGTGATGCTCATATTGCCACATTTACTTTTTGCTGGAGCGCGTGCGCGCTCTCAATTGGTTAGTTAACCATTTGAAAGTAAATCGCACATCAGGACTCTGCTTCCTTAATTACTTCTAATACGAGTCTCCTGATATGGACAGTCTCATAGAACTCCAATATTTTCACACCTGAGAAAATGTGCTTTTACATAATTTCATTACTCTATTCATTTTTTCGTAAAAGATCTCTTAACTGGTGTACATAAAGATTAGAGATTGTTTTCTTTAAAACTGAATGGTGCCCCCTCCCCTCTCTCTTCTGTGCTGCCTACGGAGGAGGTGGCCATTTCGACCGGCATCATGGCTGCCCTCAGACCCCTGGTGAAGCCCAAGATTGTCAAAAAGAGGACCAAGAAGTTCATCCGGCACCAATCAGATCGTTATGTCAAAATTAAGCGTAACTGGCGCAAGCCCAGAGGCATTGACAACAGGGTACGGAGAAGATTTAAGGGCCAGATCTTAATGCCCAACATTGGTTATGGGAGCAACAAGAAGACAAAACACATGCTGCCCAGTGGCTTCCGCAAGTTCCTGGTCCACAACGTCAAAGAGCTGGAGGTGCTGCTGATGTGCAACAAATCTTACTGTGCAGAGATTGCTCACAACGTCTCCTCCAAGAACCGTAAAGCTATCGTGGAAAGAGCAGCCCAGCTGGCCATCAGAGTCACCAATCCTAACGCCAGGCTGCGCAGCGAAGAAAATGAATAGACAGCCTGTTTTCAAGTTTTATTTGTGCTAAATAAAACCATAAAAGCGCTAAAAAAAAAACAAAAACTGAATGGTTAGTTTTCTTATTATATAGAGTATACTTGGATGTGTTTTCACAGTGAAACCTGAGTAAAAGTTTCCTAATGCTTGTGGGAATTTTTTTCTGAGAAAGAAAAGTTTATGATCTGTTAATAATGAAACACTCCCAGGATACATTCATTATAACAGCCCTTTGGGATTCACTTGCATTTGTTTCCAGGAATCCTGTGTGGAATGAAAAAAATTAGTTCAGTGGGTTGCATGTGGTGGTGGTGGTGGCGGGGGGTGGGGTGATCTACTCTAAGCCTTGTCCTCTTAAAACGTTTGTAAATAAGAAGATTGAACTATTTTAGTGTGATATTGAAGGATATTGTCTCTTTTTATAGCTATAAACCTGCATGACATCTTGCATATCAGGCTACTTGTTGGATCTCAGATTGCAGCAGAGATACGGGAAGCCATGTGTCATCAGCTGGGTCTCACTGGCTGCGCAGGAGTGGCTTCGAATAAACTTTTGGCAAAATTAGTGTCTGGCATCTTTAAACCAAATCAGCAAACTGTCCTGTTACCTGAAAGTTGTCAAGATCTCATTCGTAGTTTGAACCACATAAAGGAAATGCCTGGTAAGAGAAAAGAGTTGAGAATCTTTAATTGCTTTATTGCATTTCTCTAGTTTTAAAAGTTATAGGCACAGTGTAATTCTTTGACTGTGGATACTTGGCCCTTTGAAAAACCACTCGTTTTCTGGAAACACTAGTTGTTTCCTAGAACACATATTAGGAAATATATGAAAGTACTTTGCCATTGCCACATACTTTTGTGTAGTTAGAATATGATTGTAAACATTCTATGATCCTTTATACTTTTATACCATTCATTGCATGTAAAGAGGGGAGTTGGCCTTTTACTGTTTGGGGAGTATTTATGTAATATTAGCACTTCTTGAAAGAATCTTGTAAGGTAGCTACGGCAGGTTCCTAGAACAATTCAGGTCTTGGGGCAAGGAAGTTGTATCTTTGAAGATCAAATATTGAAGATTTTTGAGAATATCAATCATGGTTATGTTAAAATTCTATTTCTTTGGCATTGGCTGGGACATAAGATGTTATAGTAGATTTTCTGTGAAAGTAATTTTCTGAGACGGTGGAAACTTACCTCTTCAGGTGGCCTAGATTTCAGACTTTTAACCTGTGTCTAGGTGATTCCAAAATGCACCACCTTTTTTCATATAGTTTTGGGATGAGTCTGGGTCTGAGTTGTGAACAGAAATTGCTCTGTCAGCTTGTAACATACCAAGGCCTTTATACTGATACAAGCTTTCTCACTCAGCTTGCCATTTTGAGTTCTTGTCCCTGCTTCACACAGACTTTGTATTTTCTTTCTTACTTCCACATTGCCATTTATTTCATTTATTTAATGTATGCAAATACCTCCCAGTTCACTTTCATAATTCCACTACACACCTGTCTCTGACATACTACTTTGTCTGTGCGAGGAAACTCATAACTGTATAATTCTTACATAGAGAATGAACAACCAGAGTGGATGTAGCAAAACTCTTCACACATTGTGAAGAATGTAACCAGTGTCACTGAACAACTTGAGTGGAAATCCTTGAATGGTAACCTAATCTGCTATGTAAACCTTCATTCACTGCAGACACGATAAAATATTATTAAAAACAAAAAAGAGTGAGAGGGCTAAGGGATAGTCAATGGCTTGAGTATTTCTCCTGGGAACAAAGTGTGACTGAGTTTTAGCACCAAGAACTTTGTGATAGGAGTTTTGCTAGGTTATTGGTTTGTCTTCAGGCCTTTGTTTGTATTGTGCATGATAACTGTTGCCAGATATAACTTTTGAATAAATGTGTTTTGTATAGGAATCAATTAACTAATAAACACAGGCAATTTAATATTAATTGAGCTAATGACTTTCTTTATATGAATAAAAACCATAATGACTGAATAATTCCCCAGTATTATGTAACATGTAGTAAACATTTCACTTTATAAAGATGGCATTTATTGACTGTGGTCATTAGATTCCTGGTATGGCGCTGTAGGATAAGCACTGGGCTGCTAAACCGCAAGGTTGATGGTACAAATCCACCACCTGCTCCTCAAAAACCTTATACAGAATGGCTGTGAATTGGAACTGACTTGATGGCACTTAACATAATGTATTCATTAGATTATATTAGGTGTTGTAAGGTCTCCAAAAGGTTCACAGAAGTCAGGCCCTGATTAGAAGAAAAACCTGATTTACAAATAAAGTTTGACTTTGTTGTTAAGTGCTGTCAAGTTAGTTCTGACTCATAGCCACCCTGTATAGGATTCCCAAGGAAAGCCTGGTGGGTTTGAACCACCAGCTTTGTGGTTAGCAGTTCAGTGCCTAGCCAATAGCACCACACCTTAGCAAAATACAAATCAAGTACTTAAAACTGTGGCTGATAGAATATTTGAATTTGTTTTATTCTAAGAAGAAGAGCTCTAACAATACTGCGCATTGCTTTTTGTCTAGGCATTGGCTATAAGACTGCCAAACGTCTAGAAGCACTGGGTATCAGTAGCATCCATGATCTTCAAGCCTTTTCATCCACACTGTTGATAAAGGAGTTAGGCGTTTCAGTTGCTCAGCGTATCCAGAAGCTCAGTTTTGGAGAAGATAACTCACCTGTGACACCCTCAGGACCACCTCAGGTAAACTGTGATGACATGGGTTTTCATTGAGTGCTTCTGGTCATGTGATTGAAAATAAGGATTTCTAGTCTTAGTATTGTGTTCTTGCCGTGTTCTTGCTTTGCTTACTAGGTTATGACATGATTCCTTTTCTGTTAGGATTCTGCATTATTGAATTAGTAAATACTTTGAATTAAATCTTAATTTTAATAACATTAAGTCTCAAATTAACTGCTTTGATTGAAATCTGCCTGTTGTAATTGCTTATGTTGTTTATATGAGGCAATATGTTGCATTTTAAAACAAATACATTTTCAGAGTAGTCCAGTGGCTAGGCAATGGGGATAGGTTTACACACCCACTAAGCACGAGTTGATTTCTTCCTATGTGGCAGTCAGTTGGCTAAGTGCTTTGGATAGTAATCTTTTGAGTCTTCTCATGAGCTCTTTAAGGTAAGTCGTGCTAGTCTGCGCCCCTCCCTCCCTCCCTCCCTGCCTTGCTGCCTTCTTTCTCTCCTTTTTTTAAGGTAAGGGTAGTATACTTTAGAATACAAATTGCACAACCTACCCAAGGTTAAATTCAGATTCAAGTCCCAGATGAGTAAAAGCTTTCCTGTTATTGTACAGTTAAGTTTAGAGTTGGTACTAAACTTCTAGAACTTTACAGTTTTCTTGACTTTCAGTGTACTTGCTAGTGCAATACAGTAGCTTGCAGATAAAGAGTTAATGTAAAAGTGGACTAAATGACTCAAACTAAGTGCACGAGGTAAGTTAGCAAAGAATGTGTGGAGTATTTATTTGACTTATACAGTGATAAGCGGACCTAGTTATTATGGTGTGCAGCCATTCTAATTTGAGCTTCTTCGGTAGTCCTTTAGTGAAGAAGACTCATTTAAAAAGTGCTCATCAGAAGTGGAAGCTAAAAAGAGGATTGCAGAACTGCTTGGTAGTCTTCTGAACAGGTGATTGTCCTTTTTTCCCAGACATCTTTTTTTTATTTTTAAAGCTTTTATTGTACATTGAGTGATAGTTTACATGGGAGAGCATCATCCTATCATATTTTGTTTCACTGCAATGATTACAGTCCCCTCCATGTAACACCATTTAAGAGTATTTGCTTCTGTGCCCTCTGGGTTTTTTTGGGTTGTTTTTGTTTTGATGTACACAAAAACACTCAGGAATATATAATCATTTAAATAACCCAAGGGCACATTCTTTCCAAGACATCTTATAGATATCTTCTGTAGATGTTAGAGAGGAAAGATACTTGGTGTTCTATCTTGGAATTTACAGATTAATTGGAAACTAGCAATGCAGAGAGTCCCTGGGTGGTATAAACACTTAGTTAGCACTTTCAGCTGGAGGTTCAAGTCCACCTAGAGATGACTCAGAAGAAAGACCTGCCCGTTGGACTTGGGGGAAAAAGAAAATCAGCCTTTGAAAAGCCTACGGAGCATGCTTCTGCTCTGATACATACTTACGCGGTCACCATGTTGATTAACGACAACTTTGTTTAATAATGTGATGAGTTTGAACCATTGACCTTGTGGTTCAGTCGGACTTTTACACCAGTACCCTTAACTAAATTTAATCCATTTGTCTTCATTTTCATAACCCAAACAAAACAAAACTAAACTCACTGATGTCGAGTGGATTCCGACTCCTAGCGACCCAGTTGGACAGGGTAGAACTTCCCCATGGGGGCCTCCAGGGCTGCAAATCTCTACAGAAGCAGCCTGCCACATCTTCCTGCCATGGAGAGACAGTGCGTGTGCACTGCTTGCCTTTTGGTTAAGAGCCAAGTTCTTTTAACTACTGCGTAAACCGTCCTTGTAATTCCAGCAACACTCTTGTTACACCATGACTGTTCAGCTACTCACAGTTGCCTAATGGGGTTTTTTGGTTACCTCTAGAATTCCTAAACCTCTCACAAAAGAAAGGCATTTTAATTTTATTCCCTGTGGCAATTGGAAAACCAGAGGAACAAATTCAGAGAGGAGTAATCTGCTACAGGTCTTAAGGAACAGCTGTACACATTTGTGGTGGTTGAGGAAGGAAATTATTAAAAGCAACAATGAAAGAAGAAGCAGAAAGCCTTCACATCTCCTTTGCCTCCGACTGTGAGAAAGAACATGGGTCAGCGCAAAGGCAGTAGCTGCTGAATGGTGCTGTGAGTGAGTGTGGGAATGTGCAGGGGTGTGATCGACGAACACGCCAGCTGGGATGATGAGTACATGAATAGAGTAGCATAAGCTAAACAAAGAATTAATTTAGTCTTCTAGTGGACTCCTGGCGTAACGTTGTAGGATAAACACTGGACTGCTAACCACAAGGTCGGCGGTTCAAACCACCAACTGCTACTCAGAATCGTGATTGGAACCAAGTTGATGGCACTTAGCAACAAGAAATGCTTCTTTACCATTATACCTGTATTCCTGAATCCTCTATAGACTACCTCTCTTCCTTCCATTTATTTGATTTTCTTTTTGGTGTTAGAAATTTCTCGAAACAGGGTATCATGGGTCTAACAATTTAGGGTAGGTACGCTTTCGTCATGATGGTAGTCGTCATTTGTGCAGGACTAAGTATCAGAAAACGGATGCACTTGTTCCACCTTGACTGCCACATGCAGTGTGAGGCTCCCATTCTGCACAGACAGAGCCAGCACAACGCAGCTGGGGCTGCTGAGTCTGACCCAGGTTCCGGGCAGTGCCACAGGCTGTTCCTGTGTGTGCAGGTGAATGTGGGCCAGCTGCTCTGCTTCAGAGACTCAGACAGTTCTGCACACAGAGAAACCACAAGCAGTTTACCTTTACAATTTATTTTATTGGAAGAGTCAACAGCCACCTTGAACCCTGTTTGGTATTCGATATAATACCACTTAAAGAGACTGGCAAAAATAGCATTTACTGACTTAGTCTTTGGAATAGAGCAGTGTCGAAGAATGATGAATGGTTATATATGTATATGTTGTTGGGGATGGTAAGTGCCATCAACTCGGTTCCAACCCATAGCTGGTGAGCTTGAACTGCCCAGTTTGTGGTATGTAATATGTGTGTATATGTATATGTGTATGTATATGTATATATACATATATGTATGTATGTATGTGTGTGTGTGTATATATATGTATATATATATATA